TATGGACTCCTAAATATATGAGGTAGTTATTATGGTTAATGCTTGTAGCGTGAAGCGAGGAAAACGAAGACGCAAGGCCTGAAATATTGCAAAGAAATACCTACTTCACTTATACCCGTCAAAAAGCACGAGAGGCTTATCTTCTATTTCCAAACTAATCTCACAGCCCGAACTGACCCGCGTGTTTTTGCAAACCTGGCAGGTTGCAAGTTTGCTTTTGACTCCTGTAAGGCCCCGGCGTACCCGGGCTGCACAGCCAGGCACGTTGCACGGGACCTGCATACGGAGCGTGCTTTACAGTGCAGTTCTAGCGTTAATAATGCCACCCCCCTACAGCAGAAATTGGCGCTTAAAAAAAAAAAAAAAAAAAAAAAGCATTGCGATTTTTGCTTCTAGCCCCTGGGTCACCCGGGGGATGTTCAAAGGAGTGGAAGAAACCGAACCGCCGGCGATCACGGAGGCGAAAGTCGTTTTCCTGATGGCAATCCCACATCTCAGACACGGCTCTGGGTCTTTGTGGGCTCCGTGCCCCCCCCTCCCCGGGGCAGCGGTTCCTCCCCCCTCTGCAAGCACCCGGCAGCTGGGCTGGGAACCTCGCCGGGCAGCAGGAGGATTCCCAGGGGGAAGTTTTGCTCTTCCCCCCATCCCCACAACCCTGGGGGGGAGGATGCTCCAGAGCATCGCTCCCCTCGGGGCTGGGACCTGCCAGCCCAGGGCATTGGAAAGGTTTGGGTTAACCACAGGACTGAGAGTTTTATATTTGTTCCGTACCTTAATTATGTTTGCCAGCGGATATTTATTTAGGCAGAAAAGTGGGATAAGGAATTCTTTCTGCCGTAGTATTCTTATTGTGCCTTCTGATGTCTGTATGCAGCTCTGCTCTGCTCTGACCCTGGCCCACGGCTGCAGGAGGGGGAAGAGGGACATCCCACCGGAGAAACACGCCCGCCGCCTCGATGCAGTGCATTAGCAGCTCTTTATTAATGTGCTTCCACAATAACCCACAATTTCAGTGGAGAAAAATGTCTGCAAAGTGCTGCTGAATGTTTAGCCGGCAGGATGTGATGACCTGGGCCGGAATGTGGCCAGGACACGGCCTGGGTGCTACCGGGGACGCTGGAAGGTCCCACAGCCTGCAGCCTGGCAAGCAGCAGCGCCCAGGCAGCGAGCCAGAAAAAAAATCCCAAGTCAGAAAAGGATTGACCAGGCCACCCTGCTCTGGGCTTGCTGTAAGCACAGGTGCTCCCAATTTTGGGACGCACCCGTTGCTCCGGGTGAGTAGATAAGCACACCCATTGCTCCATGACTGCAACAACCACCATTTCCCCTACAGCCCCATCCCCAACGCCTGGGCTGGGAGACCTCCATCAGCTTGCCCTTGCAATTAAATTTTTTTTGCTTAGGCTCGCCCTGGAGTTAATGGTCAAAGCCGCCGCCATCAATTATTTATGAATATAAATAGATAGTTGAGCTTTGTAAATCGAGTCCCTCGTGCCCCTGCATGGGCAGAGCTCTCATAAAGGGCTATTTTTGAACTGCTGACGGCCCCAAATCGGCAGCGCAGCAGCCGGAGCCGGAGCTGAGCCCCGAGCGCCGCAGGGCTGAGCTCCCCGCCAGGTCCTGGGCATGGCCCAGGCTCGCGGGGAGCCGGGATGCCCCGGGGAGGGGCTCTGCCATGCCCCACGCGTGGTGGCAAGGCTGCCAGGCTGGGCGCGGGGAGGCTGGTCCAAGCCTCAGTTTGAGAAGTTGTTCCCTGTGGTAGCCACGGCACAGAGCGGGTAGCCCCGCGCACCAGGACCGGGGCTGGGTCCACTTTACCCACCGCTCGAATTGGGCCGACAATTAATTTTTCAAAAATCCGGCAAATGAAGAGGGAGAAGAGCTTAGCCCGTGACCTTCTGATGGTCCGACACAGGTGAAGCCCCAGCCTGCCAGCCCTCCTCCCGTGCTGCGCACCGGAGGGATGCACAAACACACCTTCTGTTTTCAGCAGCCGTGCAGCAGATTGCGATTTGCCAAGCCAAGCACTGCAACTACTTCCTCCTCAAGGAAAGACTCGACGCGATCCCCAATATTCTCCCCACGCTCCCGGGCAGGGTCACCAGTGGGACTGAACCGGAGCTTTACAAGGGCTAAGGGGGAACAGCCCCTCTCCCTGTTTGCCTTCTGCACGCAGGAGGTGATGCCCAGGGGAGGTCCTGCCCAGCCGATGCCAGGAGCCAGCAGGGAGGACAAAAAAAGATTTATCAACCGCGAAGCAGCGGTTTGCTCACGCCAACCGCCGCGGGGACACACCCGAGTGCCTAATGCTTGCAGACGCTCCCCCCTCCCGACGAACGCATTTATTCCCCTCAACTTTGTCTTTTCTATTCCACTTCGGTCCCTGGGCTGGAACGGGGCCAGAAACCCGTCGGTTGATGAAAAGCCCCCGAGCCAGCTCCTCTCCCGCCCCCAGCCCTGTCACAGGCGTAGCCGCTGTCTCTCCCTTTCACATAATCCCACTGGCATCGGGAGCGCCTGGCAGCCGGGGGAGGCAGCGCCGGCGTGGGGAAGCATCCAGGGAGCGGGGCAGGAGCCGTGGGGTCTGAGGGGGGGGAGCACATACCAGTATTTTTAGCATAAAACAAGGGGCAGCCCAGCTAGCCCATCATTTTAAGCCGCACGTGCTGTAGAGTTTAGCATCAGGGACGTAATTCAAGCAGAACTGGGAAGGGATTTGGCTTCAAATGTAAGGGAGCTGAGGACTTTAGAGGATTATTGTTGCAGGCGTTGGGAAAAGCCTTTGGCTTCTCAGGGTGCTGGGTTTGCCTCAGATTGAGGAGCCAGCCCCAGAGATGAACACGAAATATCAGCTCCGTCGCCCTTGGTAGGCGTCTTCCCTACCTAAAGGTTATCTCAATTCAGCAGCATCGCAGCTGAGCCTGGAGGTTTAGTCAGCTCTTCCTCCAAATTCCCCTCCGCTTCTTCTCCTGGGGGAGAAATCAGCTCTAGATGTAGAGAGATTCGGGAGCAGAAACAGGGATTAGTCATAAAGATACAACATCAGCCTTGTCACCAGCGAGATGCTATTCCTGATGCAATTCCCCAGGTCTCGGGAAGCCAAAGCCAGGGGAGCCGTCAGGGCTGTGCTGAACACCCGTGGGAGAATTCAGCCCTCGGGATTGAAACCTGATCCAGAGGTAAGCCAGAAAAGATTTACAAAGGCCCAACCTGGGAGGCTGCAGGAGCGTTTGTGTCATGTGGGCAGCAAAGAATTGCAATCACCCGGCGCGTCAGCACACTGTGAGAGCCGGGAGCCCGCGGGAAATCAGCGGAGATAACTGCTGACAATTAGTACACGGTGTCCACAAGCCTAACGAGCAGAAGCCACTGGCTTGGTAAGGGATCACGTCTCCGTATGACGTGATCAAAGACGCGGCTCCCACTGAGGTGCTGACGGGGGGAAACTGAGGCAGGGAGGGGCAGCGGCTTGGGCAGGGCCGTGGGAGCAAAGAGGGGCCGCTGATTGAAGGGCGAGTTCTGGGGATTTTGAGAGCTGCGACTCTTCGGGCAGGACCCGCTGCCATCCCCCAAATACTGCCTGAAGCACCCAGGAACCCCCCCCGGAGCACCGAGCCTCACACACACACCCCCCCCAGCCATCCCCAGCACCCCGGCCGGCTGGGAGCTGGCTCTGGGAGATTCATCAGCGTTTCTGCTCCCACCACGGGCTCGTTACGGGAGCTGCCGACACCGTGCCCGGGAGCAAGCGGCCGGAGCACCCAACCTCCTGGAAGTTGGTCACAGAAAAGCCAGGCTTCCACTCGGGCAAAGCCTCCGTCTTGTTTCTCAACCGTTGAAACAACTCCCAGCAAATTACAGCTGAGCATCCCATTCACTCTCCTCCCATATGCCCCGTCTACGCGGTTCCTGGAGAGTTAATCTTGAGATTTTCAGGACTACAGGCTTGCCCGAACCAAGCCCCGGGCTGGGCTGCACACGCGCTTGAATTTCGTGGAACGGTGCAAACCCCAGTTTTTTACATCAGTCCCAAAGACCCTCAAATCAGCGTAACTGCGAAACAGCATCCTCGCGGCACCGGCTGGCCCTGCAGGAGCATCAGCCATGATTTGGTGGGCTGGGAACAAGCACGGCTGAAGTTGCCCAGATCCCCTGGCCGCTAGCCCCCCTCCCCACGCCCTGCCCATGGAGACCCCCCCCGGCCAGGCCTGGGGAGGGAAGGGGTGCAGAGCATCCCCCGCCTGTTCCCTTCTCCCAGTCCCAATAACGTCACCCATGAGCTGCCGAAAGGGACACCTAGTACAGTCAGAAGCCAACCGCCAAAGTCACAGAAATCCTCCTCATTTTCAGCTGGAGGCATGGCAGAGAAGCTCACCAGCTGCCCACACCGAGCACTTCAGGCTGAAGTCACAACCGTTCATTGTTTTTCCTGCCTAGCTTAGGAGGAAATAAAAATCTGTAAGACGCATGAGGCATTTTATAAGAATGCCCATGATTTTTTTTTTTTCCCTCCATTTCACCTAAAACTGGCTTTGATCTCACCGTCACTCAGTGAGCCAGGTGAGAAGCCGGTAAGCGATCACCATGATGAAATGGTACCCACAGCAGACACTTCTTTTTGCTCCCTACAACATACTGCAAATGAACTTTTTCCTGTCCAGCCTCTAACATGCTTTGCTAATCGATTTTTCGGCTCATTAGTACCAAGAGAAGTTATATTAAGCACTTAATAGAAACCATCTTAACACCACGGTCGTAAATTCACCATGTTGTGTATAATCTACCCAGGCAAGTGGGTTTTGTACAAAATCACAAATACATATGCCTGCAAAAACGTTAACACCCCAATGCTATTCAGTTACGCACGAGTTTAAAAATCTATTAATAACCTTAGTAAAGAGCTCCTGCAAAATCAGATGCATCCAGGCAGGCAATTCTTTAGAGGCAAAGTAAAGAGCTATTACACTGCAACGTAACAAAGAACGAGACCGTGACCATACCTATATTTCATGCCCGTTTGCTTTGCGGTGGATTCTTTTAATGAAATGTGGTGCTGAGGGGTGAATGTCCCCAGACTGCGAGCGATAATAGCCACTGTCCGGAATTTTGCCCGGGCTGCATTCACTACGTTCGGGGTAGTGGTGTTCTGCTTGCTGATGAGCCTGTCTTCACCATTTCGACTCTTCAAGTTGTGCTCTGTGCAGGCGATGGACACTTGCATCGCGCCCTCGGTGCCCCTTCAGTGACCGTCCAGGTCGCGGCCGGACCCCCCCCCCCCCCTCCCCGGCCTCTCCGGGCGCCCCGAGATGGGCTGCGGGCTGCCCAGCGGTGCGGGGGGCCCTGTCCCAAACGCCGCCGAGGGAACCCGCCGACCTTGAACTCACAGAAGTAGCCGAAGCAACGGTGGGGACTGGAGGAGGGGGGGGTGTCTCCGGGGGAGCCGGGCGATGCCAAGAGGAGAGAAGCCAAAAGGCACTTGCCGAAGCGATGGCGAGAGCAGGTCTCAGCTCGCTCTCCGCTCTCCACCAACCCACCCCCCCCCAACCCCCCCCCCCCTCTTCACCCCAAGCCCCCGGTCGCAATATTTGCGGCTGCTTTAGACAAAAGCATCCATCCAGTCAGGCGCTTGCAGGGACATAAAGCTGCTCCTTCATGATGAACCGCCGCCGGCTCTGCCTCGCTGCGGGGCTGGCTTCTGGTCGCTGGGGGGGTTTAAATCAAGGCAGGCACAAGGGCTCCGGCGCCCGCTGGCCCACGAACTGCTGAGCAGGCAGCCTTGTCGGATAAAAGACCGGCGAGATCCATCGGTTCTCCTTCGCCCAGAGGGCAGCAGCTACATCCCACCCAGCGCAGCCCACCCAGGGCGAGGGGCGGCGCGGTGCCGGCTCTGCAGCGGGATCTCCCCCCCCCCCCCCCCCGCCTTGTCGGGAACCCGCGGGAAGCGTGGGAACGGGTGGGAACGGGTGGGAACGGGTGGGAACGGGCCTCCTTTGTGCTCAGGGGGGAAGGCGGGCAGATGCTCCGCGTGAAAACAGCCGCCGGCATCGCTAAGCGAGCAGAGGGCCTCTTATAGAGGGGAACATTTCCATGTTAAAACGGGCTCATTATGAAAAAAAAAAAAAAATAAAAAAAATAAGGGGGAGGGGGATAAAAATCCCGTTTAACACATTAATCCCATGTTTCTGGCACCCGGTGCTGCCGCCTGCAGACCCACACTCGCAGCAGTGCCAGGGTTAATCCCTTCTTCCCCCCCGCCCCCCCTCCCCCCCAACCTCCCAGCATCGCCAGCCGAATAAGCCGCAGCGCAAAAAATCTTTGAAGCAAACGGTCCCCGTGTCCCTTGCTGCAGTCGGGGCTGCAGTGGGAGCAGGGAGCCCGTGCCCACCTCCCCCCGGGGTCCTGGCTTTGGGTGCTGATCCCCGCCCCGGGCTGGAGAGCTGCTCACCGGAGCGGTGGGAGGGTGAAGTAGGGATGGAAGGGGGTTGGGGTCACCCTCCAGGCCCCCCCCCCCCACCCCCCCAGCTCGGCACTGCCACCCAGCAGAGCAGCCCTGGGGATGGGCGGGGGGGTGAACGGCGGTTTGGGTGCACCCCGGGCGCAGACCCACGGGAGATGGGGTGCGTGGGTGGCAGCGCAGAGCGGGGGGGGGTGGGTGAGGGCCGCGGGGCACCCGCTGCCCCTTCCCCAGCCCTGCACGGGCCAGGGGGGAAATGGCCCACGGGGGTTCCCCACACCCCCACTCCTAAATCTGCCCTCGGGGGGGCTGGGCTGAGGCGGGGGGGGCCCTCTGGGGGGTCCCCTCGCCCACCTCCTGCTCTGATTTCCTCCCCTGCAGCGGGGATACACGGTGGTTTTCTCCCCCCACCCATCCTGCTGAGGAGGGGGAGTGCGAGAGCGGCTGGGTGGGCAGCCAGCACCCAGCCCAGGCCACCCAGCACCCCAGGCGACAGGGCGAGCAGCTTCTGATGGTCGCTTTGCAGTTCATTTATCTAATTATAATATCATTTCGTATCATTTCACACCATAGCATACCATATCATGTCATGTCATACCATACCATATCATGTCATGTCATACCATATCACATAATATAACATAATACAACATAACATAACATAACATATTAGAGTGGAATAGAATAATAGAAGAATAGAATAGAATAGAATAGAATAGAATAGAATAGAATAGAATAGAATAGAATAGAATAGAATAGAATAGAATAGAATAGAAGAATAGAATAGAATAGAAGAATAGAATAGAATAGAATAGAATAGAATAGAATAGAATAGAATAGAATAGAATAGAATAGAATAATAGAATAGAATAGAATAGAATAGAATAGAATAGAATAGAATAGAATAGAATAGAATAGAATAGAATAGAATAGAATAGAATAGAATAGAATAGAACAGAACAAAAGAGGAGAGGAGAGGAGAGGAGAGGAGAGGAGAGGAGAGGAGAGGAGAGGAGAGGAGAGGAGAGGAGAGGAGAGGAGAGGAGAGGAGAGGAGAGGAGAGGAGAGGAGAGGAGAGGAGAGGAGAGGAGAGGAGAGGAGAGGAGAGGAGAGGAGAGGAGAGGAGAGGAGAGGAGAGGAGAGGAGAGGAGAAAGAAAAGAGAAGAGAAGAGAAGAGAAGAGAAGAGAAGAGAAGAGAGAAGAGAAGAGAAGAGAAGAGAAGAGAAGAGAAGAGAAGAGAAGAGAAGAGAAGAGAAGAGAAGAGAAGAGAAGAGAAGAGAAGAGAAGAGAAGAGAAGAGAAGAGAAGAGAAGAGAAGAGAAGAGAAGAGAAGAGAAGAGAAGAGAAGAGAAGAGAAGAGAAGAGAAGAGAAGAGAAGAGAATTGCTCATTAATGCTTATAAAGCACATTTCTTTGAGGGTGGAAAGCATTCTATCAGAGTAAAGTGACTTCATGATATATCTTCCAAAAGGTGATGAGCAGTTAATCATACAGCAGACCCACAAACTCCCAGCTGTGAGCGATCCCCCGCCTCAAAATTCTCCTTCGGATTGGGGGCAGACGGACCGCTTGGGGTGAGGTTTGGAGGGAGGCCCACGGGTGGGGTGGAAGTCAGAAAGCTAAATAAGAACCAGCAGAAGGAACGGCTCCGCCTTGGCCACAAGATTGAGCTTTGAGAGAGTTTCCAGACACCTAATCAGCGAGTTACTATCGGAGATCACACGGAAATGCTCTCAAATACCCAGAAAAGAGCGTGTCGTCCAGGGGCACGTGCCCTGGGGGTTGCTGACACCCGGGTGCCCCACGGTGCAGCCTCATCCCAGGTCTCCTCCGTGTCCCCGTGGGGCCGGGGGCTGCGGCTGGAGCGTCGGGCACCTGCAGGGCTCTGCCTCGACAGCGCAGCCAGCCCGGTGCAGCCGAAGCACCCGCTCAGCTTTTGGAGCCCAGCTTTGCATTTCTAGAGCCCAAAGCAAGACTGACAAAACCAGAATTATTTCTCTCTCCGATGGACGCCCAGCATCCTCTCGCCGGGCGCAGAGAGCTCAAGAAGATGTATTTTTACACCTTGTTCTATACGTGTCTAGAGAATTCCCGTTGCAGCCAGCAGCTGGCTCTGCCGAATGGTGTGACGTGGTCCTGGGGACATGGCCAGGTCACTGTCACCCAGGTCCTGGTCACCGTCCCTGCTGCCACGGCTGCCCGTGCCCTGGGGTGCCAGGGAAGGGCCAGGGAGGGGACAGAAAGGGCCAGTCATGTTCTGAGCATATTAACTCAAGCTGCTTAGCTTCGGAGGGGTTACAGTCCCTGCCAAAGAAATATGTATTTAAATATGGGATTTATTTCATTTCCCTGAACAAGATAATAATTTCTAGACTAAAACATTAGAATAACATCATTTTGGACCATGGAAATCCTGAGCTTATCGAACAAGAGGTACGTGAGAGCCTCGGTGGAGGATGGTGCAGGGGTGTGGTGGCAGCTCAGGCTCCGGCCAGGCTCCCCGTGTCACCTCAGTGCCACCAAACTGCTACAGATGCAGCTGTTTGCCAAGACACACGTGTGCATTTCCCCCCCTCCCCACACCCCCCCACACCCCCCTAAGGAAGCTGACCATCGCCCGTTAAATAACTTGCTCAAAATGCTTCGTCAAGCAAATCTCCTCTATCGCAGATGCTCACAACCACGCCGGCTTTGCCTTGCCCGTGAGCCCCGCTGGCCCCCGCCCCAGCAGCCGCTGCATCCATCCCGGGGTCCAAAATAAAGACAAAAACACAGAGCAGCTCTAGGCAGGTGCAGAAGCCAGGAGATGTTCTATGGCTCCTACACAAATACACGTTTCAGTGCCCTGGACAGTCTGTTTCTTTGCCCAGGACTTTGCAGGGGCGGGATGACGAGCATCGCCGCAGAGAGCACAATGGAAATCTTCAAAAAGGGAAAAATACTTTATTCGGACCCGGTGTGGTCCCTGCGGAGGCACAGAGGGGAGCTGGGGCCGTGCTGCTGAGCGGGTGATGGACAAGCCCTTCCCCAGAGCTCCCCGCAGGCAGGGCTCTTGCTGTAACGAGCAGGAAAAAGATGCTTCTGCAGCCCAAAATATAAAAAGAAACCGAGGTCCTTCGGTCTGGGTTGGATGAAACATTTCAAGCTGATGCAGACCTGGCCCTCTGGCACGGCTCAAGCTGAATGCATGGCTTTCATTTTTCCTTTTTTTTTTTTTTTAAAAAAAAAAAAAAGTCACCTCATAGTGAAATAACTTTGAAATATTGCACCAACTCTGGCTTGAGACTTTGCTTCTTGATGGCTGCAGTCACAGGCTATCTCCACGAATTACTCTGCCGTGCCATTTTACCAAAGCAGAGCATTTCACTGAACAAATATCAACTAGCATCTTATTAACTTAATTAAATCCAACCCGATTGCCAGCTAAACCTGTGTTTTCGGTAATACCAATACGCTGCATGTAAATTGTGGCAGGCTCTGTCAATCTTTTAAGATGGCAGGTCTTAATTTCATGCCCTTCTTGCTCAGACCTCAGCAGCAGGCTGTATTTGCGACTGCCACATATATTAATTAATCAATGTGCACTGCACAGGCAACAGGGCGACGTCAGCTGAGGAGCACGGGGTAAAGGTAGAGCAACCGCCTCTGCCTCCGTCCCTGTGCCGATCATGTTTTATCAGGTAAAAGCTTTCAGTGCTTTTATAAGAGAAAACGCACTGTGGAAGTCACACCGTGGCGTTTGGCAGCAGGTTGCGGTATGGAGGAGAGCTGGACACCAACCCACCTGCAGCCAGTTACCTAAACCCACATCCCTGCGTGCTAACCAGCAGCCCAGGTCACCGACCAAGAGGCCATCTCGACCCCTTTCCGCTCTTTAACTGAAATTCTTCAACCTCGAGAGGAGACAGCAGCCTAACAGAGCAGAGGACGTAGCTGCTCATGATTTCAGCATTCGTGACAGAGTTTTAACCACGTTGGACGTGTCACATAACCACATGGGCATGTCAGATGTCAGCGAATGCCAGATGAGCCCCTCTGCAAAGTTTCTTAGCGAGAAGCCTTCCTTTTTAGCAATGCATAAAATTATTTTCAGTTTAGCTACTTTTTGTTTAGGTTGTATATCATATATCATTGTATATAAATTTGTATAGTTTTTGTATATATAAAAATTGTATATAAAATTGTATAGCATATATCATCGAATCACAGACCGGTTTGGGTGGGAAGGCACCTTAAAGCCCCCCCAGTGCCCCCCCCCTGCCCCGGGCAGGGCCCCCTTCCCCCAGCCCAGGGGGTTCCCAGCCCCGTCCAACCTGGCCTTGAACCCTTCCAGGGAGGGGGCAGCCACAGCTGCTCTGGGCACCCTGGGCCAGCGCCTCACCCCCTGCACATTAAATATATTATGATATAGCGGGGGTGTATATATATATATATATCTCATAGATTGGGGGGGGGAACAGTTAATGATGTTTTCCAGTGCACTTGGGGGCTGTGCTGAGAGCACCGGGCTGCTCACGCCGGGTTAACACTTGTGCAGCCACAAACCTCTCGCAGGGCTCGTGGAGGGATTTTGCCAAGTCCCGTGGGGGGGCTGGTGTCCCCAACGGGTGCTGGGCACCTCCTGCGAGCTGAGGGTGCTGGGTGCCGCCGAGCGAGGTGCCTGGGATGCTCAGCCCTGGGGTGCTGAGCCCCCCCACTCCTGCC